GATGAAGAATGCAAACAGGGTGTGGCTCCAGAGACTTGAGGTCCAGAACTGATGGGGGAAGGCTGGGAATGTGCTTGGTGGAGATGGAGTGGGAAGGGGAAGAAGGAAGGGAGCTCATATTTAAGGAGTACTTACCACCTATTAGAAGCTGTACCACACATTCTCCGTTTTCCTCTTTATATCAGTTTTCATTTTATTTCTATCCCAGAATGACCCTGCAAGTAAAAGTATGATCTCATTTTATAGGTCAGGAAACAGAGGTTCAGCAAGATTACATAAGTTTCCCAGAACCATGTAACTAACAAGAGGCAAAGCTCGATTAAACCCAAAAGAATTGACTCTTTCCTCCTCCACCACCACCACTGCATTATCAATCACCTGGGAGGGTGAGAGGCAGCCTGACCAGAGGCAAGGGAATGAAGGAAATGGGTTCAGATTCCATGGGTTGATTCCAGGGCACCTACTTTATGATCCTCAGTGTCTATTAGTGTCACAGGATTTAGAGTCCAGCTCACCTGCCACATAAACGATCCCATCACTTTCTGAGGTTAGGAAAATGTGGAATGGATTTGACATTGAAGAGATAGATCTTGCTCCTTAAACCTCGATTTTCTTATTTGCAAACTGGGGTAATAATGTGTACTTCATGGAATCATATGATGTAAATGAGCTGACATGAGAAATGCTTAGCCCACTGCCTGACTTATAAATGTTCATTGGAATGAAATTGGATTAGGTGCTCAGAAAAGCAGGAGATCCTAGTTTAACGACCATCTGCTTTATGCCACACATGGCACAGCAGTCCCCAGTTCTGGTACCTGGTGGGTTCTTAGGGAAGTGGTGGAAGTCTAGAGTTCACCATCATAATGAAGCTGATTTTCTTTGGGGAGAGTTTATTTAAAACTCTTTCTGCCTAATCACGTCATTAACCCCTGTCCACACAGCTTTCCGACACAACGAGTGCCCAGACCCCGGCGTTCCCGTAAATGGCAAACGGTTTGGTGACAGCCTCCAGCTGGGAAGTTCCATCTCCTTCCTCTGTGACGAAGGCTTCCTTGGGACTCAGGGCTCAGAGACCATCACCTGCATCCTGAAGGAGGGCAGCGTGGTCTGGAACAGCGCGGTGCTGCGGTGTGAAGGTATGTGCCTGCTGGGCTGGGGCCGTGGCTGTCACCAGGAGAGGCTGAGGAGGGGGACCAAGTGGCCTGCACTACAGTACTCCGTTTCCATATCGTCCTTCCTCTTCAAGGCCACCCTCTCACCCTCACGCTGGAATGGCAGGGGCTTTATGGGATTACTTTGCATAGAAATTTAAATTATAACCAGAGACTAAACTGGAGAAACACTGGTTCTAAACCGTCAGGCATCAAAAACACCTCTCTTTTCACCTGGGAACTCTCTCGATATCACAGCCATTGGGAGCCCTGCTGCCAGCTCCTGCCCAGGGGAGCTCCATCAGCCCAAAGTTTTGGCAGCGCTGTGAGTTTTTGAATCTTCAAGCTGCCTGCCCCTTTTTCCTTCTCTACATGCTGATTTTCCCCAATGCCCTGGGCATCTTCTAGTCATGGCCTTTGTGCCTCTGTTAAATGCTGCCTTGTTATCTTTACAGTCATCTCCAGGAGGCTAAGGGCAGACCACCGAGAAGGAAGTACAAGGGGTATATTGGTTCCTCCTCAATCCTGCTTTGCCACATAGAACAGATTTTGACTCAATTTCAAAGACCAATCATCTCTTCCACCAAACTCCAGGCATTTAAAACACAAATTAAGCTTCTTGAGGGCAGGATCATGTCAAATCTATGTACCAACCAGAGTGCCTGGCACAGAACAGGCCCTCCATAAATATTCGTGAATAATGGATGAAGAGAGTGTATCCCACAGGCCTTTGGAGACAGTGACAGTGTCCAAGGAGGCAGGGGCTGTGGTTCTGTCCCTTTAGGAGCCAGAAAGTTTATTGCTTTCCTCTCACTTGAGGAACAGAAGGTGGAGATCTAAGAGACCTCTCTACGTATCCCACCTCCAAACCCAAATCTGAGCACCTGGGCCAGCAGGTGAGAAGAACAGGAGAACAAAGAGGGGGTGTGGCTTAGATCAAGCACTGCCCCAGAGCTGACACGCGGGGGTAGGAGAGGAGAGACCGCTGGAGCGCACGGTGCATGCGGCAGAGGGTCTATGGGCTTTCAAGTCTGAGGGGCCTGGGCTGGAATACTGGCAGGTCACCTTTTTCCTCTGAGCTTCCGTTTCTTCAGCTGAAAAAGAATGGAGGGTGATAATAATAAGATACATATGTAAAGGAAGTTCCTGGCATAAAGTAAATACTCAAAAATTTTAGCTGTTTTCTCACTGTTTCGTAAGCTCCATGAGGTTAAACACTCATCCTTGGCCTCATATTCCCACAACTAGCATACTGTTTGGCACTTCAGTGCTCAGTCAGTACTGGTTGATGAATCACTGGATGGATGGATGGATGGATGGATGGCCGGCCAGCCGGCCTTTTAACTATGTTAGGGCCTCCCTAATGGTCTCCAGAGCCCTGACTCTCACCAGACTGCCTTTTGTCTCCATCCTGAAGCTTACCAGCTGAGTCATCCCGAGCAAGCGACTTGACTACTCTGTGCCTCAGCTGACCCATCTGTAAAGTGTGGTCAATAACGGGAATCTCCTCCCAGGGCTGTCTCGAGCAAGCACCGCTCTTGGAGCAGCATGCCTGGCAGAGGCAGCACTCGATGCATGTTGGCTGTGAGCATCATTTTAACCTAATTTTAACCATTTCTTCATTGGCCCAATCAAATGAGTACCACTTCACTTAGGAAGATGCATCAAGTGGTGCAGTTCCATCCTTCCAGGTGCCTGCTCCAATCATGACGTGAACAGATTTCTTTCAGCCCTCCGAAGTCCCACCATGAGGTCTTCACAACCTCATCTGCCATTTTCTTCCAGCGGAGTGAGCACTTTGGGAAATTACATGAGCTTTAGAGTCAGAGAAACAACGCGGCACTCAGAGCTCACCTCCTCCCAGCTGTGGAGCTGGTAGATTGGGTAACTTCCTTGTTGGCTGCAGGGGGATATTCATGCGTGTCTGATGAGGCCGTTTGCAGATGGAGCAGATGACTGCAGAGCAGCCATGTGGGGCCCAGGGTCTGGGGGTTGTCCTTCAGTGGTCGTTCACCTTTCCTCAGTCTGTCCCCGGCTCTCCCTCGGGCTCAGTGGTCACCCCCGACTTCTGTGGTTCTCCCCGTGTTGGTCTGTCTCGAACACAACATTTCCCTGCTGTCCCTCACTCATCTGATCTTTCCTTTTCCTAATGCCTTTTGTTCTCCGTGGGCCACCACCAGACCACTCTATTGGGCACTTGGTCTCAGCACTATTACATCTTTCTTTACCAGTTCCATAGGCCTGGTCCTATCTCCCCACTGAGATTCTCCCCACCTCTGGGATGGAAGCCCAGGCCCCAGTGCCAGTGGGGACTCAGTCCCCATGGAACTGACCTCCCTGAAGAGGCATCAGGGCTTGCTAATTACAGAATCCTCCCCACTGCTGCCCTCCTGGCTCAGGTGCTCCTAGCCCATGGTTCTGCCAGGGCCATGTATCACTCAAGACCATGCGTGAATGCGGAAGGGAAGCTGACTTTTGTTAGTGGGCCTTAATGCAGCTCACTATGTCACAGGCAAAGTCCTAATTTTGAAATTAAAACCATCTCGTTCATTCTGTCCCTGGAGGGGACAGTAGGCAATCGAAAATTGGTGGGCAGCCTTCTGGAGAGATCCTGACTTGGCATGGGGGAGAGCCTGCTCAGTTTTCTAAGAGTGATGAGCGTATGCTGCTAACCTGGTTTTGGGGACCCGAGGAGCAGCACAGCAGAGGGCTAGAGTGAGATGCCGCCTGGGGTGGCCAAGTCCCAGACCTAAAACTGTAGAGTGAGTCAGGTAAAGAAACCCCTCAGAATCTGGCCCCCACAAGGCCCCTTTTCCCCCTGTGTCCCAGCCTTGGGAGAACCCTGCTTTGTAATTAGCATCTTTGTCTTTTTCAGTTTTCTAGTTTTGTTTTTGATTAAGTATCCCCACCTTGTGGACAATTAAATGTAGAAGCTAATGGTCTTTTAAAAAATCTTTTAATATATGCTAAGAGCCACTTAGCTTTTGAGAGACTGTAATGGGACAAGGAAGAAAATGGCTTCTTCTCCTAAATTTAGAAAAAAGGATGATCATCTGGCTAATCAAAAGCCGAGGTTGGCAAATTTTTCTTAAAGGGCCAGCTGGGCAGCATTTTCAGCCTCGTGGGCCGTAAGGTCTCTAGCCATCTTTATGTGAAAACAGCCTGTGACAACACATAAGTGAATGGGCCGAATTTGGCCCCTGGGCTATAACTTGCTGACTTCTGATCTCGAGAACAGAGGATATAAGGGATCCATATGTTTAAAATCAGAAATGTCCTAAGAAAGACTTCAGGTAGAGAAGGCATCTAAAAAGGACTGCCTGGTTATCTCCCCACCACATTCATCTTTTCTTGTCTCTTTTAAGAAAGAACCAACTAATGATACCCCACTATGATAAGTGTTTTACTTACTCATTTCAGCCTAGGAAATAGTATTGTCCCCACTGGGGCACAGAGAGGTTAAGTCGCTTGCCCAGGGGCCTCCCAGCTTGTAAGCAGCATAGCTAGAATTCAGACTCAGGTTCTTGGCTACACTGTTACTGTATTGTTCTTGAATTATATCACTAGAGAGAATATCATTTCAAACAGGTTTATGAAAGACTTAAAAGCATCCACAAATAGGATGAAAAGCAGGTTTTCTACTTTCCATATCCCGGTAGAAAATTAAAACAAAAGGAAACATATTGTCAATCGCAAAAGACAAAGACAAGACGCCACATGGAAGCATCAGAAATTGTCAGCATAAAACAAAATGACAGCAATAAGACAAACATATCACTTATGACAATAAAGGTAATTAAACTCTCAATTAAAAGACAAAGACTGAAACTGGATTTTTTAAAAAAATATGTTGATTACAAGAAATACACAGGGATAAAAAGGAGATAAATTTTCTACAGTGTATCTACAGAGTATGATTTTTTTTTTATCTTTAAAGTCATACTTAGTGGTTGTAAAATATTTAAATAATATACAAGTGCAGTGAAGTTCAAAGTGAAAATACTCATTTCCCAATACCACTTTCCAGAGGAAAGTGAGTTAACAGCTTGGTATGAACACACCCACATTTTTTTTTCTATATGTATATACAAAATGTGTTACTTTTATAATCAGAAAATTTTAAAGTCCTATAGGAAAGAAAGAAGGTCAGTTCTCCTCAGTCCGACAGGAGAACTCTAAGTGATGGCTATCCAAGGAAAAAGTAAGGGCAATTATTAAGTTTCTAACATCTTATTTAATCTTCTTGTCACTCTTGTGAGAAATGTATTATTATGCTCTATACATAAGAATTCTGCAAGCTGATGAGGGGAATTGACTTGCCTGAGATTCCACCTGGTAATAATAGAGAAGTTATCATGTACTAAATACTAGACCAAGTGCTTTACATACACTGTCCTATTGAATCCTCCTGACAATGCTATGAGGTAGGTACTATTATTACCCTCATTTCACATATGAGGAAACCAAAGCACAGAGTGGTTAAGTAATTTGCCCAAGATCACACAGCTAAGTGAATGGGAGTCAGAATTCAACTCCAGATATTCTGGTTCCAGAACCATCACTTTTAATCACTAAATGAGGTCTATATGAATCCAAAGTTTGTTCTTCCTTCACTCTACCAAAAAATGGTGGCAGATAAGTGGTGAGGGGCACAGGTGGGTGGTGGGGAAGCCCGGCTGGAAGGAGTAGAAGCCCAGAGGCAAAGGCTTTTACTACCTCTAGTCATTCCCACTAGATGCTCAGTCAACTAAAGCCCCTTTGAGGGAAGCAGGCAGGGTGGGCATTCCCACATCCACCCGCAGTGGTTAGAAAGGCAGACTCTGGAGCCAGACCACCCAGGTTCAGATCTTGACTCTGTCACTTTCTAGCTGTGTTTCTGGACCAGTTGCCTCTTTACACCTGTTTTCTCAGCTATGGAATAAAGCGAATCCCAGTACTCGCCTTCTAGGTGGTCGCGAGGGTGAACGTACAGGAAAAGAAAAGGC